TAGCCCCCCGCCCCGCCAGCCTGGGCACTGCCCCTTGTCGGCTCTCCAGGAGCACATGGGGTCCCAGGTGAGTGGGGAGACAGCTGTGGGCCAGCCGGACAGCTCTCACCAGCAGAGACTGGTGCAAGAAGAGAGATTTCTTCCCCCGCTTCTCAGGTGTGTCCCGGGCCCAGCCTTGCCTCCCGCTCTGCCTCTCACATGCAGCCCAGGACCCGCCTGCTGATGCAAGGGGCTCGCACTCCTGGCTGGGATAAGGAGAAGGGATTTGGCATTCTCCTGTGTGCTATCGAATCCAGTCCGGGCAGGCTCCCTGCCACAGATGTCAGTGTCTCTGCACGAGGCCCTCTTTGTCCGCGGGAAGAGAGGAGCAGCATGCACGTTTCATCTGTTCCAGGCCTTACCCAAAGGGCCGGTGCCCCAGCTGTGGCTGCAGGCTAGGGATGCAAAGGGGTAACTGGTTAACATTGCCTTGCGGTTAATCAGCACCCAGCCAAGCTGGAGCAGCCCCCCTCCCCCCAGCAGTGCATTGCAGTACCCAGTTAAACACAGAGTTCAACCAATTAACATTGTAAATGGGATTTTACATCCTTCCTGCAGGCAGCGTCTCCCTGGGAGTGACTCGTGTTTCTCAACCAGTGGTACGAGTACCCTTAGGGGTACTTGAGAGAACTGAACAACACAACTGAAATTTGGAGAAAACTGAATTTTTGTTTTAAGTTTTACAGCACTTTATTATGTATGTACTTTTTACACCCAAAAATTTCATCACCCGCCCGGCTACGATTAAGTTGTTTAAACAAGTGTGTTGCAATGGTAGAAAAAAAAATTGTGTGTTTGAAAACTGGAGGTATTGGGGGTACTTGTAATTTTTTTTGAAAAAGAGGCACTTTATAAAAAAAAAAAAGGTGGCCTGCCACAGGCTAGCTGGGTACGAGAGGCTCTGTGACACATGCAGGGGTGACGCTCTCAGCCAATTTCACTTTCCCAGTGGCTGTAAAATGTAGGCACCTACCAGGCACGTGTCTGGGGTTTTTCTCCTTTAACAATGTGTGTGCTCCCCACACTTGTTGTGGAATGGCGTTGGGTGGCGCTAGGTACCTGCTTCGCTGATGGATATTTTGGGACCAAACAAACCCCAGACTCTAATTAGTTGAATTAATTCAGATTTTACCCACTTCCCGTGTCTGCCAAAAGCTGTTAATTGATGCAGATTTAGGACTCAGATTTTCATGTGCACAGATGCTGGGAAATACAACTGTTGGGTTCTCCTAACGTGTGTGAGTGTGTGTTTACGAGACGCAGTGCAGGGTGGGAGGGTCAGCCGAGCAGCTTGCCGCCTGTTGGGGAAACCTCTCGGGTCGGTACAATCAGACAGATGTGCAGGGCTGGGGCTGTTGCACTGCAGTCGGCAGAGCCGCACGTGCAGCGCTTTGTGCTTGGCAAGCGAGGGTGGGCTTGGCGACTGATCTCCGAACTGCTCCCTTCCTTGCTTCCAAGGGACTGGTCCGGGTGCTGTCGCGGCTCAGCCGTCTCTGGTGTTTCCGCTGGAACGGTACCGCATCGGTGTTGTACCTGGCGGCCCACCCTTGCTGCACAGGTGCGCTAGGTGTTTGAGCTGGGACGCTTGCCCCCGGGACTCTGCTGCGGGCCAGGAAGTGAGCAGCAAAGGGGCCCATTGAGCAGATCGCTGGCCTGCAAACTGGCCTGTGTTAAGCGCCTTCGATGACCGGGGCTGGTCAGAGCTGAGCAGTGCAGCTGGAGAAGGTGAGACGCTTGCAGCCAATCGCTCCCCGGTGCTGGGCAGTCGGGGGGCTGTTCGCAGAACTCGCTGAGCAGCTGGGAAGGGGGGTATGTTGAAGGAAACGCTAAACTCCTCAGATGATTCAGGGAAGCAGGGCACTAGATCTGTTGGTGCAGTGCCTACTGCTCCTGTCCACAGCTGGGGTGCCTGGGCCCTGCTGTAATAGATAATGCACAGCCGGCTGCAGGTCCACACCTGGAGTGCCAGGGTCCTACCGTAATACCTGTAATAGACAATGCACAGTAGGCTCCTGGTCCACATCTCGGGTGCTGGGTCCTACCGTAATACCTGTAATAGATAATGCACATTGGGCTCCTGGTCCATGGCTGGGGTGCTGGGTCCTACTGTAATATCTGTAATAAATAATGCACAGCCCCTAGCACAGTGGGTTCCTGGGCCATGTCTGGGGTTCTGAGTCCTACCGTAATACCTGTAATAGATAATGCACATTGGGCTCCTGGTCCATGGCTGCGGTGCTGGGTCCTACTGTAATAGAGAATGCGCAGTGGGTTCCTGTCCACGGCTAGACGCTATGGGATACCAATAATCCGTCTGGAGAGACCGTCCGACCTGGTGCCTCTGGCTCTGGACCGTGCAGAGCCAGGTTCCCAGCCGCCTTCCTGTTGCTTTGCCATTCGGAAGAGGCCGAACGTTTACTGTTTAACCAAGATGGCGAATGCTCAGAGTGGGCCCCTGAAGCTGCTAGTGTCTCAAGCAAGGTTGCTCCCGAGTGCCTGGCTGGGGGCCCGCCCCACTGAGAAGTGCCCCAAGCCCTCCAGTGCAGGGCACAGCACCCGGAGGTGCCACCTGCTGGGCTGGGGGAGAGCTGTCCAGCAGCCTGACTTCTGCCTGGCCCTGGGACTGGTGTGTCTGCCCCGCCCCGTCCCGCCCCCTAGGATCCTACGCCAGGGTGGGACTGGAGGGTGCTGCAGTCCTGTGACACAGTGATCTGAGGCACCAACTCTGAGCGAGGTTGGAAATTGGGCAACATCCAGTGTGATGGGTTGAATCACAGAAATGCTGCTGATCATGCCATTGCCAGCCCCCTTCCTGCCCTCAGGGGCTCCCCACCACCCTGTCGTTCTGGGCCAGATCCTCTGGTCTCCCTCAGCCAAGGCACAATGTGAGGTTACCACTCCCCTGCAGAGCAACACAGACACTGAACCAGGTCAGCTCCGGGAGGGCTCAACACCCAGGAAACCAGCCCACACTTGGGACCAGAACCTTACGTGGATCTGTCTTATGTGGTGTAAAAAATGTCACACAGAGAAAGCTCATAAGGTTCACCCCCTGTGTCAATGAAAGAGAGAGATGCACAGTGGTTGCTTCCCCCAGCCAACAATTATTTCCACTGGGCCTGATAATAAACAAAAGTGTTTTATTAAGTATGAAAAGGAGGATTTAAGTGGTTGCAGGTGGATGCGGAGTAAAGTAAGTTACTAAATTAAAACTCGTTACATGCAAAGTCTTACACATAACAGCTGTTTTCTCTCAGGTAAAAGGCTTTAAGTCAGAGTTGATCTTTACTCTGGCCTGGGTCTACAGCTTTTTCAGAGTCCTTCGTTGTCAGGTATCCTCTTAGGGTGGGCCAGCCAGTCTTGAATCCAGCTGAAGACAATGGACTGATGGCTCCCCATTGCTTAAATAGACTTTCCCCCAGTTGTTTGCCCCCACCCCTCCATCCCCATGGAAAAATACCAGGTTCGAGATGGATTCCTGGACCAGGTGGCATGATCACATGTCTTTCTAGGCCCAACCACATGTTTGGACTTACAGGACAAACATGGCCATTCCTAGGTTGTTGATTTTGAGTACTGAGTCATTAAGTACCTTAGTATTGCTAGTGGCCTCATTAGCACATTTAGAATTCACACTTGATATGTCTGACTTCACATACAAGAATTATACATGCACAAACAGGGGCTACGTCTACACTGGCATGATTTTGCGCAAGAACTCTTTTGCGGAAGAGTCCTTGTGCAAAAACTCTTCCAGAAGAGAGCATCTACACTGGCATTTGCTTTTGCACAAGAGATGTGCTTTTGAGTAAGAGCATCGTTGCCAGTGTAGACGCTCTTGTGCAAGAAAGCTCTGATGGACATTTTAACCATAGGGGTTTCTTGTGCAAGTAATTCATGTTTCCTGTCTACACTGGCCTCTTGCGCAAGAACAGTTGCGCAAGAGGGCTTCTTCCTGAGCGGGAGCATCATAGTTCTTGTGCAAGAAACACTGATTTCATACATTAGAATGTCAGTATACTTGCGCAAGAACTCGCAGCCAGTGTAGACAGGCAGCAAGTTTTTGCACAAAAGCGCACATTCAGCAGATTGCAACTGTAAAATTGGTATGTTACGTGACCTGTTTTGCATAAAGCACCTTTGAGTTATGAACGAGTTACGTCCCAAACACTAGGTCGTCACTTGATCTGTTCATAAGTTGGCTCACATTCACTTACGTACGGCCGCGCTGTTCGTAACTGCGGATTTCATTTGTAACTCGGGCTCCAGCTGTATAGGAGGTTGGTTGTAAATACGAACGGTCGTAAGTTGATGCGTTCGTAACTCGGGGACCGGCTGTATCCATTAGCTAATTTTCATAAATTGGGGGGAGGGCATGACAACTAGCCAGTCCAGTGGGGCTCTCTGGATTCTGGGCACTGAGTCCCCCTCTGGCTGCAGTCCCTCAGGGCTCTTCCTGTCCCAGCAGCCCCTGGGCTGAGACGCTGCAGTCCCAGCCAGGCCCCGCACGCTGCAGAGACCCTGGGGCCACAGAGCAGCCTGGGCATCGCTTACCCGGCAGGGCCAGTAGCTGGCGAGAGATGTCACCTGGAGGCTGGCAAACTCCAGGGCTGAGCTGAGGGGAGCACGGCCCCTTGGCGTCTCTGCCGGGGGAGCAGTGAGCCATGGGCCTGTCTCCTTGGCCCACCTGGCACAGGCGGCCTGCCCCTTCCCAGGCGCCCGGAGGGGCTGGCTGGAGTCTCTGCCAATGGGATTCTGATCATCCCTGCTCCGTCCTGGCAGCTGCATTTTCTCCCTTGCTCTGAGGGATCTGCTTGGGCTGGGGAGGGGCTGTCTCCTGACTAGGCCTCCGTGCAGGGCACTGGGGGGCTCCCCACCACTTCCCTTAGCTGGGGGCGAGCCAGGCCTTGCTGGGGAGGGGGGGGAAGG